GGAATGCTAACTATATATTTTCCATTTGCATCACGAGTTGTATTCCTTTGAAAATGTGTCTCACTATCGTCTATCGCTATTTGATTGTTTTGAATCGATACGTTATCCTCAATCTTCCAGAATTTAGTGATAGCATTGTCTAATCTATCCAGCTTAATCGTATGAAATGTGCGAATATCAATTGTTGGGTTGTCTCGAGGCCAACGTAAATGCCCACCTAGTACCCAACCGAGTCTTGTTTTTTGCCACACTAATCCAGCGTTTGCCTTGTGTTGCCCAACGCACAATAGCTGCCAGAAAAGTGCGGCACCAATTAACAAATCTATTTCCTTGGATTCATTAAATCGCGGATCGGCTATTGGAATTCCCGTTGGAATGGAAATAGCGCGCCTATCTAATGGAACACTCGGCATGTTGTCAGTGATTTTCTGTATGACTAGACATTCTAAATTTGATTTAAAGCTACCGGTTCTGGAGTGCATCACTATTTGTGTCTTTGATTTTACGGGATTCGTAATCATTCCCAAACCACTCGTCATTGCATTTATTCTAGTTTGCGAAAGTTTTAACTTATTACAAAGATTTTCAGAAATAAAATGAGCTTGTGATCCAACGTCCAAGAGAGCATAACATTCATGTTTGTTACCGTGCATATCTTCTACATGGACTAGAGCGGTTGATAGAACTGTGTAATCGACGGCAGTTCCCTGAGAATTCGCTAAGCAAGACTGAATTGTTGGCTCTACAATCGAATTTTGTGACGACGATTCTTTGCTTGGCGCGGGTGTACTGGATGAATATACAAAGTTTGAAGTCGACGTTGAATAATCGCGATGCAAAAGGGTGTTATGCTTGCCACCACATTTTTTGCAGACTCCGCGAGTACGTGTCCTTGCACTGTGCCCTGTTTGTAGGCAGTTAAAACAACACTGCAAACGTTTGATTGTTTCGTGCATTTTCGCTTGAGGCATGGATCTGAATTCCTTACATTGGAATAATGTATGTTCTCCCTTGCATACTACGCACTGAATTAGCGTACTTGCAACATGGGAGGAAACATGGAATTGATTTCTTGGTTTGATTTTGTTTAATTCTGAACCACTGGAGGAGGGCAAGCTAGCTACCGGTTTGGTTCGTTCCAGCAATCGCGATCGCTCTTCTAATATGTCGATAAATTCGCGAAGTGTAGGTGTATTTTGTGACCTTACGGCCCTTTTTTCCCATTCGACACGCGACGCGGGGTCCAACTTTTTTGTTAATATGAGAACTACAAGGAGATCCCACGTTTTCACTGGAAGCCCGAGCGCCTCCAGTGCAAGGATGTGATTGTTCACTGTATCTATAAATTCACGAATTACGATACCCGATGGTTTTCTAATCGGAGGAAGATCAATGAGAGCGTCGGCGTGATGAATGGTCAATGCCTGAGAATCCTCATAACGATTCTTTAAACTATGCCATGCAAACTTGTAATTTGCCTCAGAAACACCCAGTGAGCTTATCATGCGTGCTGCCGGGCCCTTTAACGCGGAGGTTAAATAATGGAATTTCTGTATGTCTGTTAAACCTTCCTTATTGTGAATCAACGATTCGAAGGTATCACGAAACCGTAACCAATTATCAAAATCCCCACTGAAAGTTAGTAATGTGATCGTAGGCAATCGTGGTGTAACCGTTTCAGATATGATGGGTGAGGGTGTATGTAACGTATTCGGTCGTGCGGGACCGCGAAGATTTTGAATAAGTCGCTCGAGTGACGCCATCGTATTAAAGTATGTAGACTCGAATACTTCCCGTTCGTTTAAATGCAATTCTTCTAAATTTGTGCCGATAACAATTGTTTCTATTCGTGTTTGTACATCGTCAAATTTTTCATGCAATTTTTCGTTTACTGATAGTCGTCTCTCTAGCGCAAGAACGTCTGTCTCGTTAGCTGCAGTTTGAACGAAGTTTTTCAATATGGTTAATTTCGCTTTGACCGTCCGGCGTTCGGCGATGAGAGGTTTTAGGTGACTCTCCATCGTGTAAATTACGCAATTTGAGAGACTTACAGAAACGCTGTTGATGATCAGTGGATGATGATGCCTCTGGATGCTGCGTGGACCAGTTGTCTCTCGTCGGTTGATAAGGTATCTCAAGTGTAGGCACTCTCGTCCGTGGATGCTGGATGAATCGTCTCAAGATGTTCACCAACGGTCAGCAGTCAGAAGTAGTACAGGATGCTCACAAGATGATGCAGCAATTGTAGTCCAATGTGACCACGTAATGATCGTGATTCTGCCTGCTCAACGGGAATCCGTCCTTAGGAAATGCCAAGCACCTTGCTTGGTTTGGTTGATCCGAATGCTGTGACTGGTCCAAGATAAATCTTAGATGCCTGATGATCCGGATGACGATCCCTAGGTCGCTGGTTCCAATCCGGCTCGTAGGACCAATGTTGGGGCTTGTGGCGATCGTAAGATCTTCAAGCTTTGGAAGGTTTGCACGTAATGTGCCGACTTGCTCGAAGGACCAGCAGTGCACGTTGTGTGCTGCCAAAGGTTGATTGAAAAACCTTATTTGTTTAAGGATTGTCTTTATTTACAATTTATAATGCACGTAGAGTGCTGCCGATGTTGCTTATGCGTTGCACGTGGTGTGCTGCCTATGTTCAAAAAACGTGTGTCCAAAAATTACAAGTGTGGGGCCTTAAATGTTACCTTGAAAATCAGCCTCTAGCCAATCAGAAAATTTCTCCTTCCTGATTGGTGCGCTGCTACTTCTCTACCTTCGCATCCAAGACGGTGGTCTACATGTCACAGGTACTTGGCGGAAAAACCCTGACCCAACGGTGGTGTCAGGCCACGCGGTACCTCGTCCCATTAGCAAACGCTGCTAATGGCTTTTAGGGCCCTATTGCCTTAAGGGCACTAGTCAAATGGCTTTATAAGGTGGCAATTCATATTGTGAATCTAAACACCTACCCAATGCTTTGTCTATATAGATGACGTCGTAATTTTTGGATCTAATCTAGAGGATCATCATCGTAAATTAAAAAACCTATTCTCTAAACTTCGAGAAAACAATTTAAAGTTGCAGCCAGACAAATGCGAGTTTATGAAAAAATCGTGTGAATATTTAGGCCATGTAATTTCTGAAAAAGGTGTAGAACCCAACCCAAATAAAATAAACACTATCAGTAGAGTCTTGAAACCGCGAAACCAAAAGGAAATAAAGATATTTCTAGGGATGTTGGGCTACTATAGGAAATTCATACCAAATTTTTCCACTTTAGCTAAACCCCTGAGTAAACTATTAAAAAAGGATGTACCTTTTGTGTGGACAGAGGAACAAGACAAATCTTTTGAAACATAGAAAAAGAAATTAACGAGTAAACCAATCCTACAGTACCCAGATTTTTCTAAACAATTCATTTTAACTACCGACGCTTCTAATGTCGGAATAGGAGCCGTGCTATCTCAAATCACTAATAATATAATCAGGATCTCCCAATTGCATACTACTCTCGAACATTAAACAATGCTGAGCAGAACTACTCGACCACAGAAAAAGAACTGCTAGCAATTATCAATTCAATAGAACATTTCCGCCCTTACTTGTATGGTAGAAGATTTATCATTTTCACTGACCACCGTCCACTCCAGTGGCTCTTTAACTGTAAAAATCCATCCTCCAAATTGGTTAGATGGCGACTTAGGTTAGAAGAATACCAATATGAGATAAAATATAAGCCGGGAACCTGTAATGCAAATGCAGACGGACTTTCCAGACTCACTTCCGAAAATCAAATTAATATAACTACGAAACAAGAGCAATCATATCACGATTTTATTAAATTCCATTATATGAATCAAAATATAATATCATATGGAACAGAAAAAGGACCCCTATCGACAATTACCGATCCAATAGTTATACTGTGGTCTCAAAATCTAGATCAGTCTAATCAATACTCAAATTATGTCCATTCAAATTTCGAGGTAGAGAGTCTTCAACCAGAATTGAACGGGTTGTCTAACCTTCAAAACGAAAAGCAAATCTTTTACGTACTATATCCTCTGAGTTCGCATTTTGATCGACTAGAATATAGAAACATATTTGAATGTCTCCAAAGATTAAAATTTCTAATTAAAGATAAAAGATTTGTATTTGTACCACCCAAGGGGTACAATAATATCAGACCAGACCGACTAAACGAACTATTAAAATTTATATTTCCTAGAAATGAAATCAGAATATACAGAGTATAAGATTTAGAAAGTAGGCAAGAAGGGGCATTACATTCTTGACTGTCGGACTGTCAGGCGGCTCGTTTTAATGTCTGCCATTGTTTGCCTCAAATATACATATATTCATATTTCATCCGCGTATTAATTTCTCCAACCCGGACTTCAACACGGTTATCGCCGCCCGACTCTGGTAAAGACGTCGTCGCGTTTGCAAAGACACTCGCGAAATAAACATTTAAATAATTGTTGGGGTAGATCGTGGGTTTGCCATATGAACCCCCAGCCCCCTCAAAAGTAAGAACTCTTCTTATTGAAAAATGCCACAGCGTGCACGATACTGGCAAAGAGTGGACTCTCATTTTAATTTATTAATTTTCAATCTTAAAGTATTTTGATTTTGAAAAATCGTATTAATAATATATGTACATATGTACGCTCATACATGGGAATAATAAAAAAAAATTTCTTTTTTTTCAATAATTAAAATATGATCAGGGGGTCTTAAAATGTGTATTTCCGTAAAATAAATTTTACAAAATTTTTTTTTCATTATGGGTACTTTGCTTATGTGTACCTACATAGGTCGGAAAGTAAAAATGCCTGGGCAATCGAGATTCTCGGCTCGAGAATCCAAATCGTATGCCGTTGACGTGAGGTCGAATTTCAGTAGTTCAAGAACGAGAAGGCAAATGTGAGCCTTTCTCTCTCGACTCCCACCAGGCGGTCCGAAATTACTTCGGACAGCTTCGGAGAATCGAGAAAGAGAGCATGTGTCAGTTTGCCTTTGTCGACTTTCCGAAACTCCACGAGGTCACGTATGCCGATGCGTGATCTGGCATGCGTGAGTAGGGCATCGTCGGTGCTTTTCTCGCACCTCTGCTTATATATAATTACCAAAAAAATGGAATGGCAGAGCGTATTAGAATTTCTTAGGCGTAAATTTAATGCCACATATAACTTAAAGAAAAAATTCAAACATGAACATGAATTAATGTCTTATTTATGGACTGAACCAGCCACAAGGTAAATAGAAAACATTTTAACAAAAAGAATGTTGTATATTAGCCAAGAAGGAGGTCAAAAATAAATAATTTTTACATTAGTATTAGTGGCAAAGGAAAGGTCATACATCCATTTATCAACGGAATATAATGGACGAAAGCACAAACGTAACAAAAATGTGGTCAAAAAAGTCTCCGTACGAAGAAGTATTCAACAGTCTAGTTCTAAGAATTCTGCAGAATGTTTACAAACAAGACTGGAACAATACTCCAAAGTTAAGAATAAGTTATAGTTTCTTAATATAGTTTCTTAAGTGCTAGCAAACAGAAAGGTTCAATTTGTGTGTATTTTCTTCAAAATGGAAATCCCTATTGCAATTCGAGAGTTAATTGTTAAATTAAGAAAAGAAGGTACAACATTGAAAAAAATTGCACAAATTGTAAAAACGTCAACTTCTACCGTGCAATATATATGCTAGAGATACAATGAAACAGAATCAAATCAAAATCAAAGAACAACAGGGAAACCTAAAAAATTAGAATTACACCATAAGCGTGCCATTTTAAGAACAATTAGATCTGATCCACGGACTAGTGATCCAAAATTGCCATCAATGATAGAAACTGATATATACAAGTAGTGCTTGAGACAATATGAAATGTAATAAGGAAAGCAGGGTACAATGGCCGTACAGCTAGGTGGAAACCTTTTATAAGCCAAGTTAATGATCGGAAGTGATTAGAGTTTGCAAATTTACATATTAACAAAGACCAAAACTTCTGGAATTATGTAATATTCAGGGATGAAAATAAATTCACTATTTTTAATTCAGATGGAAAGAATAAAGTTTAGAGAAAACCAAACACGCAAATGGAACCTAAACATTTGTATCCAAAATTTAAACATGGAGGCAGCTGCGTGATGGTTTAGGGATGTATGGGTGTTGCGGGAGTTGGATACATGACATTTATTGATGGTACTATGGACCAAAATGTTTATTTGAACGTTTTGTAGAAAATTTGGTCCGTACTGTATTAAAATTAAATTTAGATGAATCGTTTATCTTCCAACAAGATAACGACCTTCAGCATATGGCACAGAAAGTAAAAGAATGGTTAATATATAATGTCCCAAAGCTGCTTCAAACGCCTCCCTAATCACCCGACATGTACCCCATCAAACATTTATGGGGTGAAATGAAAAAAAATTAGAAAGTAAGAAAGAAATTAAAAACACGGAGACGGAGTACGGAGACTTTTTTGACCACATTTCTGTTACGTCTGTGTTTTCGCCCATTATATTCCGTTAATAAATGAATGTATACCCATTCTTTTCTTACTAATAATAAATGTTATGTTTCTGAATATAATAACTTAAAAATTATTTATTTCTGTTCTCCTTCTTGGCTAATATACAACATTCAAATAATTTTAGAGTGGTGTATGGAGACTTTTTTGATTTACTGTAATTGATATTTTTAATTATAAATTTAACTTCTACAATATTGAAATTAAAAACTGATGAATACATGAATAAACTTCCAAACAGGTTGAATGTTTCCTTTTCAAAATTAAGAAATTCAATTTATTTTTATTTATTGTTATTGTATTGCAATCAAAACATTTTATGTTATTGTTTATTTAGGAAACTTGTGCCTTTATGGTTAGAGCAACGTTATAATAAAAAAGAATCTAAATCAATTGAGAAAGCACAAATTTTTAAAATAATGGGAAATAGAGAATTTCAAGAAAAAAATTATATTCTAAGTATACAATCGTACACAAAATGTGCCTTATATGCCCCTACAAATAGTTATGAATTATCAGTTGCAATTGCAAATAGGTCGGCTTCCTTATTTTATTTAAATAGATATGACGTAAGTATAAGAATTAATAATACTTTGACTATACAGGATGTTCGACCACCTCTGGGAAAAATTTTAATGGGGGATTCTAGATACCAAAATAAGACGAAAATCAAGAATACCAATTTGTTGTGAAGGCTTCATTAAAAAGTTATTAACAATTAAATTCAAAAATTTCAAATCGTTCTGGAAAAATAATTTTCGGTTGCGGGGGTCAATTACAATCATGTTTGGTTATCACACATACCCCCGAAATCCTGCGCATTTTCGAGAAAAAAATTCAGAACGGGTGGAACTTTAAACATTAACAACTTTTTAATGAAGCCTCCATCAGCAAATTGATATTCTTGATTTTCGGCTTATTTTGGCCTGTACAATCTCCCATTAAAATTTTTCCCAGGGGTGACTGAACACCCTGTATATAAAATGTATATTTCAAGAATAACACTTAACATTTAAATATAACAAAATTTATTTTGTTAAGTATTTTTCTTGTCATACTAAAATTTATTGATATATGCATTTCATATATACGATGAATATTGTTTGACAATGATAAGGACTGTATAAAAGATATCAAATTAGCAATTAAATTTGATTATCCTAAAAAATTACATTATAAATTATATTTGCGCGCAGTACAATGTTATATGAAATTAGGCAAACAGAACTTAGCCAAAGATACACTTTTCACATTACATGATATTCTGAATAATCCTGATTATACTGCACATTCAATGAAAGGTATGAAATTTATTATCAGAATATTTTAGAACTATAATTATAATATTGTTCTTTAGAAATATTTTGCAAATTTTCAGACGATATTGAAAAGCGAATTTCTGAAATAAAATTCAGCACAACGTGTGTAGAGAATGACTTACCAAATATAAGTAATTTATCGAAATTAAAGTCTGAAATTGTATTTTATGAAAATCCTGATTTTCCAAATGCTGCTGCAAGTGTAGATAGAAAATATGACAAAGAATTAGGGAGATACGTTATAGCAAATAGATTTATTGAAAAAGGTGAAATTCTCTTTTTGGAGAAACCTGTAAGTTTTGTATTATTAAATCATGATCCCATAGTAAATCAGCATTGTCAACACTGTAATTGTTCAAACACAGACATTCCTATTCCGTAAGTAATATATATTTAGTTTTTAAATATTTTCTCTAAATCTTTAAATATTCTAAATTGTACATTATTTTAGATGCACAAAATGTTTAAATACGTTTTATTGCGATGTAAATTGTTCAAATGAAGCATGGTTTTCATATCATTGTTGGGAGTGTTCAGGAAATCAAATGGATCTATGGAAAGAAATTGGAATAGGACATTTGGCACTAAAAGTTTTATTAATGTGTACGACTACTACAGATACAATTAAATTTAATGCAATGCAAAACTTAGTAACTAATTTTAGTAAACTATCTACAGAAGATTTGATTGTGTATGGAATTGTATGTATAATATGAAACAACAAAATTGTGTGTATAGTAAAGAAAAAACAAAACTTTTTATCTAAATTATACAGTTACCATTTTTGCAGACTGCAATTATGCTTACAATGTACTTATCAGAGTGTACTGATTTTTTTAAAGTAAATAATCTTAATGATTGTCTTGTAAGCAAATTTTCTGATAGTATTTTTAATTCCAATTTTAATATTTCAACAAATATTGACAAACAAATTTATGTAAGTTCTTTACTTTTGCGATATATTCTACAACTTATTTGTAATGGACATGCAATTGTAAAATCAAACATATTATTGAATGAAAATGAATCTTCCATGGAACAACAAAATATCGTGGCCACAGGAATTTATCCTTCTGCAAGTATGATGAACCATTCTTGCGATCCTAATATAATTAACATGTAATTTTTAAATATGTATAATATATTTACATAATGTACTTTTAATAATATCTTGTATATTATTTTTATTGTATTTTAGCTTTATGGATCAATATCTAATTGTGAGAGCATCAAAACACATTGCAATAAATGAAGAAATTTTCAATTGTTATGGTAAAATAAGATTTTTTCCAAAATTTTTCAAAAGAAATTTTCTTGTTTGTATAAGATTTACTTAAATAGCCATTGGATATGTTTATTATTTAGAACACAAGTTTATTTAATTATATTGGTAGCATCTTACCATTGATTAAAAATTATTATACATAGGTCCACATTATAGACAAATGTCAAGAAAGGAGAGACAGAAAATTTTAAAAACTCAATATTGCTTTACTTGCAAATGTAACCCTTGCATTTTGCCACATTTGGAATATTTTGTGGTAAATATCAAATTAATTAATTTATTATTATTAAATATTGTAGGAGTGAAGGATGTCCAATTTAATTTGAATCGCGTGTGAAAGTGGGGAGTTGTGAGCGAGACATGAGTTGCGGGGTCTTAAGACAAAGGAGCGATTAGCGTTTTTGTTATCATTAATATTTGCAACGTGTTTGCAAACGGTATGTCCGATATATATACATGTATATATATATACATATTACATATATGTATATATGTATATGTATACATACACACACAGTTCATTTTCCTCCAATAATTAATTCTCCATTGTAAAAATCCTACAATATATTTAAAGCAATAATTTTTAGATTGTGAAATTTATATAAATTTCTAATTATTTGAAACATTTTTAAAAAATTTATAATAATAAAGAAATACATTATAATAAAAAACATTATAATTACAGGAAAGGTTCAACGCCATGAATTGTTTAATGTGTAATGGTGCATTATACAACATTGAAAATTCTTTATATTGTTTAGATTGTGGTAATAAACCAAAATTTTGTCAAGAAAGTAAAATACAACAAGCTGCAAAAATGTTTCATTCAGCTCAAGATTTTATGGACTTAGGAAAAATTGATGAAGCCTTAAATGAATTAAAAAAATGTTTACATATTAGAAAGGCAGTGTTATATAAATATAATGTAGATATTACAATCACTTTAAATTTAATGGAAAAAATCTATACTATAATGGGTTTGTACAAAACAAATTACATATAATAATATTCAAATAACTTTGTGTAACTAAACGAATGTAATTTTTTAGGACAATGGAAGGATGGTATAGCATGCTTAGAAAATACAATTACTACAGTTACGGAAAGATTTGGTTCATCCAGTATAGAGCTTTTAAACATATTAAATAAACTTACAGACCTATATATTATACAGTTACAAAAAGAGTTAAATACTGCAACAGATACATATAAGTAAATCTAATATTCTTTAATTACAGTATACTGAAAGTTGAAATTAAATTAAATTTATGAAAACTATATTTTCATGTTATAGGACTCCAGTAAAAAGAATACATAAATATTTAGACCAGCTGGAAGAACTTACAAATTTTAATTTTGGATCATGGAACAACGTTTATATAGAAATAAAACAGAAACGAGAAAAATTAGTTCAATTATATAAAATATTTTAACATGCTTTAATATGTCAACTATGATATTTAAAATATAAATAAACAAATATATTTTATAAAAAATATTTTCAATTAGTACTATTATTATAAAAACATTACTCATCTGTTTAATTTATTTATAAAATCTGTTATGTATTAAGATTTTGAGGCATCTTTTTTTCTATGTGTTTCGGTTTGGTAAAGAAGGTTAAAGAGAGAGGCTGGGATTTCTTCCAACAAAAAGGAAATTGACGCTCCGAGGAGAAATCGGAAAATTGGCGGAAATCGAAAGAGACCAAATCACGTCAATTATCGTGTATTTCTATACAATAGTCACAAGGAATTACTGCGTAATAAACAGATAACTTAAAACACAATACACTGGTTTTAATTAAACTCGGTTTAAAGGCGTTGAGAATCACTTGGTTGGTTAAGCACGTGTTGTCGGTTTGGTTGTGAGACGGTAATGAATTCAAAAAGGCGTGCGCACCTCGATAGCGGTCTCGAGGTGGCTAAATCGGCGCGAGGTAGCGCGATGGTCGCGGCCCATTGGCGCGATGCTTAACCGCTACACTATTTAATGCAGTTGTATGTATGTATGTATCCACTTTACTGCTTCCCCTTAGGGTTACACTTACTCCTCGTCTTACACCTACAGATCTTCCTTAACCTAACTTATCCTACTCTTACATTACCGCTCCGCACGCTTTTCCCCTTTCTCTCATTCCGCACGCCGCACGCCGCACGCTCTTAGCCTACTTAGCCTTTTGCGTGGGGAAAATCTTCGAAAGACTCCCTCCCACCTCTTTGGGGAGAGGCGGGAGGGGTGTGTGGGATTCCCCGCGCCCATTATAACGGGCGCGGGACCTACCCACTAAAAACCCCACGGTGACCCTTCCGCACGATTTGGGAGGATACCGGGAATCGCTCGAAGTATACTTCCGGTATCCTCCCCGTGCCCGCGCTTTGCGCCCACCCGCGGGGGGACAAACGGTCCCCCCGGTAATCGCCCTGTCTCATAGCGGCAGGACGAGGCCACATCGTCCTGCCGCCATCCGTCCCGGGGCCGCGTCTAGTGGCGGCTGCGAGCCCCAACTCGCAACCGCCGCGACCCCTTTTCTACCCCTCGGAGGCCGGCAGCTCATGGCCGCACCAGGCCACCGAGGGTGCCGCTCCGTGCGCCGGAGCCGGACAGGAGGCACTGCCACCCCATCCGGTCCGACCCTACGCCGCCTGGCGGGAGGGGGCTCCTATCAGGACCCCCCTCCCAGCCTGGGTCATGCCCCACGCCGAGGGGGCCGCAGCCTACTTAGCCTACTAGCCTACTCTTACGCTGCTCGCTCTCTCTCTCTCTCTCCCTCCTCAATTCTCCCCTACTCCTCTACTTCCGCTCGCCCTCCCCGCCTTCGACTTCCATTTCCACCCTTACACTCCATTCCTTCTTTCACTCCTCCTTCCTTTTACCTCCCTCCTTCACGCCCCCCTTCCCCCCTTTCCACCTCTTTCTCCTCCTACCCTCCAGCCTCTTTATCCGCCCCTCCCCTCCCCCTCCCTCGTCTAAAATCTCCCTTATCTTTTCCCCGATCCCCTTCCCCTCTGCCTCATCCCCTGTACATCTCTCCAAGACGTGCTCCCACGTCTCCTCCTCCCCTCCACATACCCTGCATCTCCTCTCTTCCTCATCCCCCCAGTATCTCCCCCCCCCTCATTTCGTTCCCCATCCTATACCTAGCTAGTCTCCCATACCTCACCTCTCCCCACCCTGTCCTCAGGTACCTCGGTAACTCCCGTACCACCATCTCCCTATACCATCTATTGTACCTCGACTGCACAATTTTTCCCCATCTCTCCTCTTCCTGCCTCCTACCATCTTCCTCCTCCCATCCCTCCCAGCCCCCTCGCCCACTTGCCCCTTCCCCTCCTTCCCTCACCCCTCCCAACCCTCTACACCCCAACCTGTCTCTCTCCCATGCCGACAATTCCTCTCCCCCTTCCCTTTCCCTTTCCCTTATCTCTTCCAGGCACCACCTAGCCAACTCCCCTCCCTCTCCCCTACTCAGTTTCTCCTCGTATCTCCCTGCCCTTTCTCCCGCCCACGTCCTCAACTTTTTCCTCTTCGTCTCCTCCCTTACCATATACCCTGGCGTCCTCCAGTCCACCCCCAATGACCACCTTAAAAACCTCTCCTGCATCCTCTCCATTTCTTCCCTCTCTCTCCACCCCCAAATCTCTGCCCCATATCCCGCCACCGTCCAGACCAACGCGTCGAACAGCCACATTCTCTTTCCCCAGTCCCTCTCAAACTTCCTTTTCCCGATTCCCCATGCCTGTCTCATTACCACCCCCGCCTTTCTCACCCTATCCCTAACCTGCGCTTCCTGTCCCCCGTTCCTCTTGAACACGTACCCCAGGTACTTAAACTCCTTCACCTCCTCTATCCTTTTCCCCTTCCACCTCCACTCCACCTTTCTTTCCCTTCCTCCCCCCTTCCTAAACCTTACCACCTTCGTTTTCTCCACATTTACCTCCAACCTCTTTCCTTCCAGATACCCTTCGAGCCGCCTAATCATACTCCCCATCTCTTCCTCGTCCTTCGCCACCATTACCACTATTTAATGGAGTTAGGAATGTGTAAAACATTTCTTATATTTATATCAATATATAATCAAAATCATAGTACATATTTTCCATGCTTTTTATTTACATTCTCCTTTACCTTTCCCATTAATTTCATAATTTTTAAAGATTCCAAAGTTTTATAATCCCATATAACTGTTTCAAATATTATTTGAATATAACTAATATTTAATTAAGTTCTTCAACCATTTTTTTATACATTTTTTCATGTAATTAATTATTTATAAACGATGGCTGGAAGTGATACTTAAAAGGAATGTTTTTTAGGTGCCCGACTCCGATTGCTCTGAATTTTGAATATGTTTTAAAAGAGCAAAAAATAAGTATACATATTTTTTTATAATTAAGTTAATGTTCATTATAATATCTAGCGTTTACTATGTATACTAGGCACTAGTAAAGTTATTTATAGAATATTTATTATACTAGGATAGCCTCTAAGATATTACTAAGATATTAAACAAGGTGTAACTTGTAAGATTTATTACAAGGATTATTTATATTAATAAAAATTGCTTTAGTATTTACATATTAATATGTGATACATACATATGGTAAGGAATATAATAAATATAAATTAATTTCCGGTACTACCAACATGATTGGTGCAATTATATTTCAAATGTATGTATACATGGTATAAATTTATCACCTGAATTTTTTACAAAGATGTATGAAGTTTATAAATTGATTCACTTAATATTCAAATTTGTTGCATTCATGAAAAAAATGTTTTAAACAAAATGTTTTTTTACACCAAGAGCATCTAACTATCGGTGTTTCATTACGGAGTTCACATTTCATTTGTGTGTTTTGTTCAAAAGCAAAGTCTGCAGGATTCACAAAATCTGATTTCTCTTCTGTGTACCCACTTTTGTACCAAGCATACTGGAACAGATTTTTATATCTTGGTGAAAACAGTTGATTGTATACAAGTGATTATAATTTAATTACATTATTCCTTAAATGAAGATTAATGTCGTAATCACGTAACAGTACATCGTTGGAGAAATGTCTAACATAATTTTTCAACACCCTAAATCCATAAACATCTGGAGGGGAACATTCCTAGCAAACGGACCGTTCACCGATCGGGGTGAGTTATACGTCATTCGAATCGTCTAATTCAGTACATTATTAATATGCATTTTATTATTTGCGGAAATTCGTTATTTTTTATAAACTGGTTGTAAAGTTACAATAAAAAAGTAAGGTTAAGTATATTTTTTGACAGGTTCACAGGTAGAAACAAGTAACTATCGTTGCTATATTCATGTTACAAATTATAAATGATCGATCTAATTTGATAATGCTAGATTGTCAAATGGGAATTTGTAGAAAATGTATGCATAAACATCATTTTTTTACGCATAGACTTTGCATGAGTTGGTCAGGTAAACAGTATGTGTAGCCAGTGTGGCCAGATCTGGCATAATTGAGTGCATCGAAATCGACAACAGTGACGACGAACTTCCTTAGCGTCTAACGGAATGGTGGGGATAGCAGGCATACACTACCGCACGAGCCACGTGTACGTGAGCTCGGCGCTTGCGCACAACTTCGGGAAATCGATAAAGAACGTTAGTGTGAGCCTTTCCTTCTTGCTCTTGTAAAAGACAAAACAACTGAAATACAACCTCGCGATAAGTGGCATACGATTCCAAGCCTCGACTGTCCAGCATTTTTACTTTCCGACCTATGTAAGGTATAAGGAAATTTATAAAGTATCATAATGGAAAAAAAAATTACGAAATTTTTTTTTAGCGGAAATACACGTTTTAGGACCCCCTCATCATATTGTGACTACTACAAAAAAATATATTTCTTTTTTGTTCCTATGCTATTGATATGATTGCATCTAAACGGCTGAACGAATTTCAATGAAACTTAACATTTATGTTTTATGTTCTCGTTTTAAGGTCTCATTATATTTTAAGCGTGATCAGTTCCCATATAATGATGATTATACGTCTGTAGTTTTATAATTATTTCGATACATATACATCATTTGTGTTTAAATATCGATTAAAATGCGATAGTTAATTGAAATCCGAAATAATTCGTTACCCGGTTTGTTTTCGGTTACGCGACCGACCAGGAAGATTCTAGGTCGACGCGTCCGCTATTCGAAACATTAGAGGACAGAAAAACACGGTTCTCGAGGTTTTCTGTAAAGTCACGCGAACGATAAAGTAACGTTCGAGTTCGAACAAGCCAAGTTCAACGCCCAGGCATAGAGAAGGTACGACAATTAGAAATTAAACAAAGACGGACGAGAGACGCCACGCAGCGCCACGCGACGAAGGATTCCCCCTCTCACGCGCACACTTTTGGCAGCTCATGTTCGTCCGTCACTTGCTATCGAGCCACTGAAAGGAGCATATCGATAAGCGAGCACGATATCGAGAAGTTTTAAAAAATCTCCGAATCGGTCGAGTTATTCGACCCTTCGTTGAGAAGCTTCTCCAAAATTAGCCTGCTTTGTCGCGAGTTTCTAGATCAACGATCTAGCTCAGTGCGACACAACATAATAATAAAATTAAAGCGTCGAGTTATTCGAGCTTCCAAGGGCTAGACGGCTCCACAGGTCAGGGCTTACTGAAAATCCCCTGGGTGGACCCACCGTCTCCCCACGGATCGAGTCATAAACTCGATCATTCCTGGTTTTTCGAACGGTTACGAACCCACAGACCAAGGGTAGAAGTACAATACCCTTGAGTGGATTCGCCGTCTTCTAGCCGAAGCGCGGGACATCTAGGATCTCCCAGCTTACGGCAAAATTATCAGATCACGTCCCAAAATCGCTCGCCTGGTACGGCCGCAGTGCGTAGGACGTCGATTCTAAAAAGAACGTGGTATCCGGAGCAACTGTAAGTCGCCCAAGGGCGCCGTTGTCAAACCGGTACCGCACCGTGCCCGTACGCACATAACCAGACGGTGAAGGGCCGAGGATAAGGGCGACGGTTGGAATCTTACAACCTCCCTCTGTTCGCTCCTCCTACGACAACCAATAGTTGCAGGCTTGAAAGATAGCGGAATCAGAATCTTGCATAAAGAAACAATAAGCGAGCGATTCCCGATTTAAAGGGAACGCTCTTACACATACAGTCCACTAATATAGCCGCGTATTGCGGCGACTGAGATTCCCGCTCCTGGGTGCGACAAGCACAAACCAGGCGCGAGCGCGAAAGAGAAAGACATCCGACGTGAGTCACGTTGTCAGGTATTTAACGCCTATTCTTGTCTCTTTCTGTTAAAGATCATCGAAGCTAGACAGACGGGAATCCGTCTAGACCGGCAGACACGGTTTTTGCATACAAAAATTAAGTATCAAAATAAACGGCTTAGTCGAGATATTCGACTAAGCGAAAATTAAATTGAAAATTTGTATTCTTTTCCCCGACGTTCCTTCCCTCGAGATCCGGACCACCGTTAGGCGAGGTTTTTTCAAACCTACTCCCCCTAACAATTTGTAACAAATTTTTAAAGCGATTTATATAAATCTCAAGAAGGATTAAGATCAAATATACTTTTCTCCTATCTTTCCTAGACAGGAAAAATTAAACGAAATCTTATGCCTTGCATACCTACCTAAACCACATAAAAAACGTATTCCACAAATATTTTAGAATAATGTTGTTCAAAGCAGTCTTACTCGTAAAGGGTTAATTAAGGGTTAATTAAAATGAAAAACCACTCTTAGCCAGTACCGTGCACGCTACAGAAATAGATTACTACTGACTTTTCCCACTATGTTTTTTAATAACCGTATCAAATTGTTACACACAATCAAATGTTATATATTTGACTTAACTTTACATAACAAAATAATTGTAACGATAGGTAAAACAATAACGTGCACGCTACCGTTCAATGGAAACCACGGGAAGGTGGTGGTCACTTCCATCAGGAGGGAAATGTAAAAAATTGTTATTTCTTTGTAACATTATCACATGCCGTATATTAAAATGTTTTTATTAATGTAAGGAAATTACAATATAATGAAAAACTAACTCGTGAATGCATTAATTTTTATTAATATACACACGAGCCATAAAAACGGAAAAATGATATAATTGTTTACATTTCCAAAGGATGGGATGTCGGGATAGGACGTTTGCGATTAAGCTGGCACGTTATGTCGTGCATTGTTGCTCTTACGGTACCGTGACGTAAGTGTAATAAGGCGCGACATTCTACGTCATAGCCACACTATCTACAGCAAGCAATTTCACTAACTAAAAATATACGGCAAAATATAAGCAAATAAATGAAGAAAAAAAATGATAGTTAGAGCAAGCAGAATAGTATTTACAGCAAGCGAAATACGTAAGAAAGGTTACAACGCGAGACAAATTGAACGACTATTTACATATTAGCGATGTCCAAAAAAAAATATTTTGGACATCACTAACAAAACTGCGGTTGCAGTATAAGCGCTTTCGCGTGACGTTATGGCACATACATGCATCACACCTTGTTGCGCCTACGTCGCGGTACCGTTGACGTAACAAGACCAGTCTACCGCGACGTCGCATGAAAACGTTTATACTGTCATTGCAGCCTAATAGTACGAATTTACTAAAGAGCTTTTCTCTGAAGAGAAAAATCTCTCTAGAGAAAAGCTCTGTAGTAAATCGGTACCTTAATTTTCGTCATATGACGTAGCGGGAAAATTCTCAAAGTTATTGTCATATGTTGCGTTTAATCTTAAATTACACTTTTGCTTCTTAGCAAATCTATGATATAAATTTTTGGAATACAATAGAGCTAGATGATCGTCATCTACCTCCATGGGTTGAGAGTTTTCCCTCTGCGCCTTTAACGAAGATTTCACAACGCAAATAGAGTTGACGCTGGCCGAAGAAAGTTTATTCCGTTTCTTTGTTTTTATGTCAGGTAACATGGAAAACAATCTTTCTGCATCGGCATTAGAATTTGGAAGTAATCTAATTGTATTTACTAA